ACACACACACACACACACACATATATATATATATATATATACAAAATGCTCATATATATCATCGTCAAATTGTAGTCACAAACCCCTGTAGATTCTGATGTGTGCATGAATACTGTTACGCCACACACTTTTATGATTGTCAGATATCACTTGTCTCTCAACATGCTGACTTAAACACGAATATATGTTGTATTTTGCGCGTGCTTTTCTCTTTCCCCTCTTTTTTTACCCCTCCTATCCTTCTTCCCCCCCCGCGCCCCCGGTCCATCTAGAGAGTAACGTTTAATGGGTAAATTAAAACGTATGAACGTATTTATATGCTATATTGAGCGCGACCCATAGTCATAGATAGTGCACCACTGAACCTACTATGAGCGTTTTACGTAATGAGGTAGTGGCGTCAGGCTGTGGCGAATGACTATATGAGTATTTATCCGTACGGTGTTTCAATATTATATATATATAAATAATATTTTAACAGGTGGATTGTATTAGGAACATTGGAGCAAACATATCAATATATGTAGTTGATCAATAGAAACAAAGAAGTTCAGTTTGTGTCAAGCCTCATGGCCTCAAGCTTTGCGTTCAACTAAATAGCCTTCTATTTTAAAAATTATACACAATGTCAACAACATATTTTAGAATATGGTTTTTTTGTTAAAATAAAAACAACCAAGAAAAATAATACACGGATGATGGGGCTGAACCGCTGAGGGCCCTCTCGTATCCATTTAACGATTTGGGGCTCGAGCAGAAATCAGGTTTCTCCCGACGACATATATAGAAATTTAGCGCAGACCCAAATCCTTAAACCGAGAGGGCCACATGTCAAAGCCTTCCTGAAAATTACCATAACAATATGTCATTCGGAATTTGGGCTACATAGTTGGCCTCTCCTCTGAGAGTAGAGAGAACAGATCTCAATACAAACACTTACAATCAGACTTCAATTCGTAATACGTAAACACGCTTTCACATTGATGCGTTAACGTAAAACGTACTTCATTTTCTTATGTTATAGGTCTTGGTTTGTGCCCGCCCTCCTTTTTGGCATAATTCGCCAACTACATTTCACCAAAATATTTGTAGAGTTGTTTAAAGTTGGACAGATTCTCTACTGTCAAAACATAACAGCTATTTATTAGGTCATATAAGGTAGATCCAAACAAAATTGGTTATCAGAATTTGCCCCAGTAAACTACCTGAAAACGGGAAAAATCTATTTAAACGTATATACGAATAATACACACACAGGTATTAAGTACTGTATCGGCTGTTCGGTATTAATGTTTAATTAATTTCTTATTCTTGATTGCTTAGAATACTATTGTATCGGTATTAATTGGACTCTCGCTCCTCGGGCATACAGCCATGTTATACACGGTCGCCGACAGCCACAGGCTGTCCTGAGATTATTTACTTCTGGATTGTTTTGTTTCTTCGAATCTTTACTCCCATTTAATCTTGAAAATGGGGATCATCTCGCGCTGGTACACCTCATTCATGATCTCAGCCCAACCAAGGTACATGGCTGAGGCTCCACAGGCAATACCTACCGCACCCGCAGTCTTGTGTACTCCCTCGCTGTACACGCCACCCGCCAGCAGGAAGAACAACAACGACAGTGATAGGAATACAAACTGTACAGTTCTATTGGCTCGGAATGTTCCCAGGAACATCAAAAAGGTGAAGACACCCCAGATGCACAGCCAGATACACTTGCCTTCACTGATGTCTCCTGGCGCTAGATTCCCTGTTACGATGAGCCCATCAAACAGGCCGAGTCCCATCCAGAATGCACCGTATGTAGTGAAAGCGGTCCCGGTGAAGACCTTGCCGGCGGAAATCTAAAATAAAAATGAGAGGAATTGTCAGGATTCGAACGAAGCACTAAAAAATGCAATCCAACATAAATAGTGCCTAGTTCACCAAACGGGACTCGTCCTTCACGCAAAAGTGAGAGAAAAAAAGAGTCTACGAAGAGTACAGACCCATTCATGATGAAGGAAGATGAGACCTTCAAATTTAAGAGGCTCAAGCCCTACTACAAACAACAAAGTACAATAGGATACAACGAGCACTATAAACGCACTGCGCTTTCGAAAGACTTGCATACCTCCCACATGCCAGCCAGAAGCTGAGCGAGTCCACCGTGAAAGATACCGTAGCACGCAATGAGTCCAACGGTACCCGATTCTGCGATACCAGCATTGTAGAAGTTCAGTAAAACAGTAGTCATACCGAAGCCCATGAGACCAATGGGTCCAGCATTAGCAGGCCCTTTGGGGACCATCATCACTGGTTGCATTGTTGGTGTGGCTGTGCGTGTATCCATCATGTTCACGCTTGTCCGGTCTTCGTCTTTCAATGACATGTTGATTTTATTTATGATGTTCGTAACCTTTAAGCTGTTGTTGTGTAAGCTGTTGAAGGAGTGAGGGGATGTTCAAGTTGTAGACTGTATATATACGAAATATTGCTGGATAGCATATCTGTTTTTATAAATACAATAAGGCTGAGTAATACAAAAAGCACATATCATTTGTTCATTTTCAGCAGATTATGAACACTGAGCAGCACACTCAATTCTCTATCCCCCATTTTTTTTATCAAGAACTTGAAGGAATCACTGAAATGCCCTTCCACAGGCCTATATTTAGACGAAGCCTTGATGGTGGTTACTTTCAAATTCATCATATCCTTTTTTTTTAATTCAATAAGGCTACAAACAGAACATAGCTCGCGTTCAAGTTTTATATTATTCTATAATAAGAAGGCTTTGAAATTTGAACAGCACACAACGCATAATTATAAATTTCTAACCCCCCCAAAATTTTAGGAATCAGTGGAATGCCCTTCCAGCCTTCCACATGCCTATATTTTTTAAGAGAAGCCTTGATGTTGGTTACTTTCAAATTGAAGAACATAATATTTTGTAAATATTTTTATTTTGTAAAAAGTATAGATAAAAACAGCTGTAAAAGAAAATATTTAGTGTCGTATATTAAGCCTTTTGTGTTTTTTATTGTTTAGAAAGAAATAGTCCGAAAACAAGGCAAGAATCGTGTTTGAAAAATTCAAATAATTTAAAACGCCGAAAATATGCGTCGAATTGTTTTTGAGATTGGAACTGTCACTTTCCTTGTTCCTGATTCATCCAAATCCATAATTATGGTTTTTGTTTTTAGAAAATACACTTTACATTGATTTTTAAAAGAACAAAAAAAGAACTTTTCTCAATATTCGTATGAATCATATCAGAAGTGCTTTTTATATTGATATATATATATCTAAAATAAAATATAATCCATAGCCTTCTTATAAAATAGACATAAAGGCATGGATTATTTGAACAAGTAGAGATACGGATCGCATTCGGGTCCCAAAAAATCCGTGGAGTTTTTAAGATTTCACCATTTGATCTGATTATTTATGAAACAACAATTTGAACAAAATCGAGATTTCAAATAATGTCCACACCAAAAAGTTAGCGGAATATTATTGTCGCTCACATGAAGGCTAGGTCTGCTAAATTTTCTATTTCCGCGCTAAGAGTGGAGTGACTACTAAGTTTTACTACTTGGGTCCAATAATAGCTATTTTTTCTTACAAAATACAAAAAGAAAATACAGGCCCCAGAGAGTGAGCCAGAAGACTCGGACGAAAGAAACACCTAAACTAAATAGTACAGAGTTCAGACCCACAGGCCCACCGGCCGGTCCGGCCCACCCGCTTGTTGTGAGGAGGACAAGACGACAAGCCACAAGGTCCTTGGAATCTAATGGAATGAGCGAGGTTGTCAGACTGTCACGTTATAGTGTGAGGTGCATACTTGGTATGATATCCGACTATCCGTACCGCGTACGGTGATTCAATATCCGATTTATAAAAAATGTATTTGTAACTGGTGAATTGTATATGACTTTATATAGTTGTCAATAGAAACTAAGTGTTCTAATTATAGGAAGATACTTTTTAGTTGTTCTCTTTGCAGTTTGTAACTTTAAACTTTGTGCCAATGGGCAATGGTCTAATGCGCTCACCCGCTCTGCTCCTACACCGAGTTAATTGTAAATTTTTTTTTTTTTAAATTAATTCAATAGTTCAAAACGTTATTTTGTTTTAAATAACGCAGAACCAAATCCTGAATTCCAGAGGGCCATGACTTAATAATACATCTTTTGAAATTTGAAATCAAACAGCCACAATTTAATAAAAAAAACAAACGACTATATTGCAATAGAGACCATATGCCATAGACACAGTGGGCCTTCAGCC